TCCTATTAAAGTGGATGATTTAGGGGTACCCCCATTTTAGGAAACCTCCATCTATAACGACAACTGCGGGTCAACACGGATACATAAATCACCCCCACTATATCATGTTTGGTTCTTTCCCATGATGAAAGATGCGGGGACCCCTCGGGTGACCCACGGCGCACAAGTCTTTGGGTGGTCGGTTGGAAGTTGCGACCACCACAGCACCTAGCTCGAAGAGGACCTGAGAAATTACCGTCCCAGGACGCCAGGGCAGTTCGAGAACTTGGGAGCCAAGAAACATCAAATAACTATATGGTTGGTGGTTTCAACCCCTCTGAAAAATATTCGTCAGTCGGGATGATTATTCTCAATATATGGAAAAATAAAGAATGTTCCAAACCACCAACCAAACATCAAATATCTATAGGCTAATGGATGGGTTTATGGGGGTTATATACTAGCCTATGGGGTTATCAATGTGGCGAACATGATCAAGACCGCCAGAACATCATAGGTGGGATGCATGGATGCTCATGCCCCAACAAAATGATTATGATAGGTCATGAACCATCCCAATGTACCGTAGATATGGACGAGACATGTTTTCTCATGGGCATGATATATATATATAAATAAGGTAAATGCATGTTCCATGTTTTTCTTAGATTACTTGCCGGAGGATACAGGTTTGATTGCTTTTCTGTCCTAAATGAGAATGGGAAACACATGAAGAAAACTGCTTTAAACAAATAATAAACATATTATTGCAGTATATTAAGGCAATGGGTGCTATTGAAAGGGATTGCCACTCCATGGATTCTTCTACTCCAAGATATAACGAGCAACAATCGCTGAAAAGGTCGTCAACAAACTGCTGTTTCTTGTTGAAACTGCTTGCGTGTGTTTGCTGTTTTACTGACCAACATGGGAGCTTAAAATACACCAAAGCATTTAGAGGCCACCAAACAGATGTAAGCTGGTTGATAACTAAGATAGGTAAAGTGATACCCTCTGGTTATATAACATAGACATGGAAAATGGCCCATTTATAGATGGTTTACCTATTAAAAATGGTGATGTTCCATGGCTATGTTAAATAACCAGATGGTAACACAAATAACCATAAAAGAGTCTACAGGATGAACTCATGCTGGCTAGTGGATATCTACCGTGAATTTGAGTCGGACTGGTGATGCCAAACAACGATAAGAGATATCGGTAGACATTATTGACACGGCTGATGGGAATGACATGGTGGTCTATGAGACATTCAAAATGGGCCAAATGCATACATTCATTTTGCAAATAGATATATGTTTGCGTGCATATATGAAATGGATAAACACACAAATGAATAAATAAAAATATGTATATATATATATATATAAATGATTCAAGTAATACGTTAATATATCAATAAATCAATAAATCAGTATATAAACAACAATAACTATACAAATATACAAAACTAAATAAACAGTGTACAAATGTTAGGGCATTCAGGTAAACGGAAACATGTAAGCAATGAGCTGATGCCGGCCCATCACAGGCATAAACAACCCGTCGGAATGGAAACTGAGGTCGGCCAAATACTGTCTTTTCATCACGACAAGGAGTCGTTTCACTAGACAAAAAAACACCTAAAATTCAGACGTCTGAATTTGAAACTTGTGTTTTTGCTAAAACATCGGTCCAGTGGTGCGTCAAGACGCGCCTGAAATGCTGCCAAGTGACGTCATGCTCTATTTTCTATGGTTTTGGCGGTGTTTTTGTGTTTTTTTCATCTGCTTGTGTCATGTCATTTCATGTTTGTTTTTTAATTTTGAGCGAAATTTCCATGGCACCACAGTTTCGCGCATGTCGCACGGGGCTACAGCGAAATGCATCTTTTTAAATGTTGGTGGTAGTTTTCCTACAGTGAAATGGCATTTTTTACCCACATAATTTACTTTTTTTAACTTGGATTTTTCACATAGCAGTTACATCATGTTGCACGGGGCTACAGCGAAATGAAGGTTTTTAGTCTTTTTCGTGTTTTCGTTACAGCGAGGTGCACCTTTTTTGATGTATGGTATGGTTGATTCTAGTTTCATAAACAATGAGTTGTGTGTGTGTGTTTGAATGTGTTTTCAGCTGAATACGGCATTTGAGAGCATTCGAAGAATCCACAGCTCAAAGAAGCTGGCACGGACGCTTCTTTTTTGTCCTGGCGAGTGAACTCATTCGAACAGACAAGAGCTGTTTTTGTCCAAGACCAGGAAGTCTTTGGGTTCATGTCCCAAGGCAAGTTTCACTTTGTTCCGGACGTAACATCGGGAGCGTGTCGAGGATTGCAAGAGAAGATCTATAGAGCGTATAGCATCATGAGCGTGTCGAGGATTGCAAGAGAAGATCTATAGAGCGTAGCATCGGGAGCGTGTCGAGGATTGCAAGAGAAGATCTATAGAGCGTAGCATCATGAGCGTGTCGAGGATTGCAAGAGAAGATCTATAGAGCGTAACATCGGGAGCGTGTCGAGGATTGCAAGAGAAGATCTATAGAGCGTAGCATCATGAGCGTGTCGAGGATTGCGTGTCGAGGATTGCAAGAGAAGATCTATAGAGCGTAGCATCATGAGCGTGTCGAGGATTGCAAGAGAAGATCTATAGAGCGTAGCATCATGAGCGTGTCGAGGATTGCAAGAGAAGATCTATAGAGCGTAACATCGGGAGCGTGTCGAAACGAAGATGCAACAGGAAGAAGGCGACAGAACGCTATTAAGCCCCCCCACCCCCACCCCCAACCCCCACCCAACCCGTCGATCCGCGTGACAGGTGTGGAGAAAAATACACATAAACGCGCACTGCCAAGCAGAAAAGCAAAGCATAAAACGCGTCGTGACGTACGACTGGGGCCTAAAACAAAGCGCACTGTATTTTTTATTTCCGTTTCGGTTGATGTCTTTCAGACAGCGCCTTCTCTTCCTCTTCACGACATATGTCGTAGCATGTCGGCTGTTTTGTCAATCAAATGCTTGTATTAGCTCATGTAACGTCGCCACATTTTACAATAGACTGACATCTTTTTGTCTGGCAACCTGTGCCCACAGGACCAACAATGGATTCACAAACTCGACACAGTGGTAGATTGGTAGATTGTAAAACATGATTATGCTGAGGGAAGGGTCGTTGGGGAATATGTGTATATATATATATATAGATAGAAGTGAGTTTATAAACTAACCTATACTATAACTGGGGGGCACTACCTTGTAGTCTTGTCAGTTGTTCATACCTTTCATACTACCGTACATGCAGTCCTCAAAAGACTGCATACCTAGGGAATATTGCATGCAGGGATCCAACCATAGGTAACCCACAAAGACTGAGACGTATGATAAACTGGCATGGACTGACCACCGCCAATAACAGGCCAACGGCGTTGGGCCAACAAGAACATCACAAAAATCTGCCTTTTCCCAGGCACGGAGAAAATCCGCTTCATAATGATGGCGTCACCTAGGGCGGGAAAAAAAGGCCTGGGATTCTCGGTGATTTATCTACCGGAAACCATGGTTTTTACATCTTACTTTTTACCACCAAGATGGGACTTTAAAAAAAAAATATATATATATATATATCTGGGCAAATTAAAATATTTCACTAACCTGAATTAAGGCCATTTGGGGATGATTTCCCTTACTAACCATGATTTCCAGTGAGGTCGCAGTGAGGTCGTTATAATTTACCCAGATATATGGAGTTTCCTGCATATTTTGCCTTCAACCAATTCTGGGACTGATGTTCTGATTGATGTTCTGCAATCATTAATCAGTGTATCCCAGTTTCCCAGTATCAATGCTGCTTCAACCATCGATTTTTCATGGGATTTAATGGGTTTTTTACTGGGGATATTTCATGGGATATACAACCAACACTATTTTTTTTTGTGTGTGTGTGTCTAAAAAACAGGGGTTTAAACAATGATATAAGACCCAGTTATGGCTATGTTGATAACAAGAATTGATATAAACCGGATTTTGGGGTACCCAATTTGATAAAACGACTGACAAACCCAGTTATGAAGCTTCAATATATATATATATATACGGATATATACATATACTGTACGGTAATATATGTAGCAACATATTAATGTCAATTTCATATTCATAATAATTCCCGAATTAATCAACACCCACATTTCAAAAAGCAGTTGCAATACTACTTTGGGTTGGTCCATCCCCATTGATAAACTCATAGGCAAATGGCCCCATGGTACCAAGTGGCCGCTAGGAAACGTCGAGTTCAAAATCTTTGAATTTGATATTAAATAAGTTGTCTGAGAGTCAATATGAGTACATTTTCGGGGTAAACAGTGTTATCATAATGTTAGTGGTTAAATAATCTATTTGAGTCCATTTGAGTTCCCCCTGAGACTGTTAGAGCTTCCATGGAGCCTCTTTGAGATTATTGCATTCTGTGCTGCTAAAAATGTAAATGAGTAAAATCGAGTGACTTCGAAAGAAGTTGAGGTAATTTATGTTGCCCGAAAAAAAACACTGAAACAGCACTTCGAAAGAAATTGAGGTGATTTGAGAAACCCCATCCCCAACAAAAACTGTGTTTATTTTGTTGATATACAGCAGTTGCAGTAGAATGAGTTCGCTTCAATTCTGGTTTCCTAATGCACACTACGCTGCTGAATGAAAATCAGGACATGATGATTACCGGGGCCCCCTGATTTTGGTTGTGTTGTTTGGTTGTGTTGTTTGGTTGCTTGTTCCCCCCACCCATTCTGTGAGAGCATTTGAGTGAGATTGAGTCAGAGTGAGAGCTTCTAAGTGACACTAGTCCCCCATTATGTGAGAGCATTTGCGTACATGTTGAGCAGCTCTGAGTGAACAAATCCTTGGACCGGAGAAAAAGCCATTGAATTAGTTTGGTTCCATTTGGTTGCAATTGAGGCCATTTGAGCAACTGGTCAATTAACAACTAAAATTTGCAATTGAGACAGTTGGTTTTTTTTTTGAAACATTTTGAGTTTTTTTTTCTTTTTGGTTGTTGGCTATTTGGTAATGTGTTGGCATCAAGTTTTGGACATCTCCATCAGCCACTTTTTTCATCCCAGCGAGCTGTTCTGAGCCAGCTAAAGTGCGCACAGAGAGCGTGCGAAATATTTTGAGATTTCAACATCCGAAAATGGCCCCTCAATTTATCTCAAAAAATGGCCGAGAAACATATGTCAATTTTGGTTTGGTTTAAGTGGTGCTCGAGTGCTGCATGAGCATGTTTGAAGCCTTTTGACTGGTTTTGAGGTAAAAAAAAAATACTCAAAATTTTGCATTTCCTCAAGGCCATTTCCTCAAGGCAGGTATTTTGCCTATGATAAACATATGCGACCCCCTATTAAACAACAACCTGCTCAGAAATCCTAATTTTGTGGTAGTCAAGATATATTTATGTTTTAATGGTTTTAATTGTTTTTTAATGGTTGAAAATTGAAAAGGTAATGTTTTGAAGGGATGTCCCATGCCCAATCTCACCATCTCACCAAATTGGGAGGGAGGTTGCCATTGAAAAGAGAAATCTTCTCGACCAATTGGCAGGCAGGTTGGTTGTTTCTTTTTTTAATGCATGACAAGCCCATACAAGCCCTAGTTTTTTTAATTGGGTTCACTCTTACCTTCTAGGGGGGTGGTTATTCATACGAACTTGGCATTCGTAAGTGTGTACAGAGAGATATGTGGAAGATGAGAAATGTACAAAGCCAATTGATCAGTCCAGCATCTTCGATTGAAAACACAGCTGGCCAAAATGTTTGGATGGGTTGAAGTAGATCCTGGTAAAATATCCGAAGTCAAATCTTCTGACCACTTTGACGTTGCTAGGAGGAGGATTATATATAATATTATATAATCATGATTACATATAAGATGACTATATCATTTGCTTATCCTTGATTAACAACTACAACTATCATGCAAGCAGGCAAATTGCGATGATTACTACAATCCCCATGCCCCACAGCTGAAAAAAAACTGATTTTGGCATGAAATGACCTTGTCATTGATGGGAGGTCGTGCTGTTTTACGTAGGGATATGGGAGCACGTTTTTGCTTCTCAAGCCCCCATGTTTAAAGTCTGAAAAAATACAAAAATCCTAACTTGCTCTTGGTAAAAAAAACTTCCCTTTCATATTACACAGCCCAATTATATGGTCCCAAATACGTCTGGATAAATTGTAAGAGTTCACTAGCCTGAAACTTGCGGTCATTTGGAAATGATTTCAAATCCTATCATCGTTCCAGTGAGGTTGCGCCGTGAAGTCGTGACCAAATTTATTCAGATTTCAACAATAGTATTATATATAATCAACTACCATAATATTAATATATATATATATATATAAAATGATTGTAATGTTCATGGAATCATCATGGGATAGTAACTGTAACTGCATCGTTTATCCAGAAACCTGGGTTTCATCAAGTTTCATCCCCCCACCATGATTTCGCCAAAGGGGCTGATGTGAGTGACCTGGAACTCATCAAAGCATAGGAGCCATGCTTCTTTCATCATGTCTGCAGCCACCTGCGCGCTTCATGGCGACAAATCTAGAAGAACCTACACGAAAGCATGAAAAACCAAGGGCTTTCAGCCTCAAATTTAAGGAGCTTCCCTGTCAATGTGTGCATCCAGTTCGGAGAGCGGTTCAAAAGGATTCAAAAGGTGGGATTTTTTGCCAAACACATGAGATTCAACTGATTTAACCGCGAAAAAAATGGCATTGTGCAGCAATAAGAAATTAGGACGCAACCATCAAATAAGGGTTTCCCTTGGAAACTGGTTCAACACTCTGGGAACTACCGCCCACGACTCGGAAATGATCACCATAACGCAAGATTTGACCACCAAAAGTAATGGATTTTGACCACCAAAAGCCAGGATTTACAGTAACCATCAAACAAATGCATGTCACCATCAAACACTGGGATTTCACCATCAACATGAAGCTTTCAACATGGCAAAATCCATTTTGACCAACATGTTTTTGTTTGTGTTTCACCACTGAACATCGTGACTTCGGCTGAGACATGATGAGAGTCCAATCCTATGACCATGTTGGGTAGTTGGGAAAACTCAACCGGCAGCCGGTTCAGCTATAGAGGTAAATATCAGATGTTGCCCAACTTCAAACCAGACGTATGCTGAGTGTATGGTTGGTTCTCGTGGCTATCAATTGGTTTGTCGCAGCGTTTATCATAACTGTAACATAACCAGAATGATTCTGCCATCATGGTGATACATTCATATCACAACTTCTGATGCTTCAGATCAAAATAGTGCAATGCTAAAAGTGACACACATCAACAACACCCAACAACAACTATGGTAATGAGCAAAACATGACACAACAGAGAGGTGTCATCCTCCACAAATTATATAATTTTAAGCTCCTGTAAAAGCAATTTAACTACCCCAGGGCCCCAGGGTATGTTTCCTCACTGTTTCTGTTCTTTCCTGGTTACCCATCAACTAAGTTGCGGTCAAACTCACTTCGCCACACCTGCTCAACCAAGTCATCTGCGGTGCTATCCGTATTGGCGCTGCTTCCTATGGTCGGGTCGTATCGCAGAGCAAGAGATGGAGCCAAAAAACGGGACCATTCATCAATTACACCCATGTTTTTCTCTGATTTGAACACAATGATCGCGACCAGAGGATTTTGAGTTACCCTATCTTCAAACAAAGCCATATGATGCCTTCCCACAATTACAATATCCCAAATGATTCTGGTCATCATACCATGGGTGCGGTTCATAATTTCTGACTGAATTTACATGAAAAGCAAAGCAGCTAAACTAAAACTGAAGACCTAAGAAGCAGTCCGCGCGCATTTTGACAAAACCGTATCAGTAAATCACCCAATCCAGGAGACTAAACCTCTGACAATCACAACAGGCACCGATTCAATTATGGCTGTTGAAATGTCCCATAAACCAGCAAACCATTGATGATGCTTGGGACATGAAAAATCCTCCACCTGGGACATTGACCAAGTTGGAGCATCTCACTAGTAGAACTCTCATGGGCCTATGGGAAATATATCTACAGTTAAGTGGGTGGATATAAAGCATCAAACAAAACTGGTGGCGCACCACCTTGCACCTATAAATCCTACAAGTGGTATCCCAACTGCCTACATTTAGTGTCCACAGCCTTTTGTGCTCCATCTCCATGTTTTGTTTCTGGGACCCAAGTTAACAACTGAACTCCTTGATACGTGCGGAAGTGCTAACACCCAACGTTCAAACCCTGGTGACTTCTTGACCCCTGAAAGCCAAAAAATGTGGTGCGTGTGATGTGAATATATATATATATGTAAATATATATATATATATGTATATATATATGTATTTATTAATATTTACCCTATATTATATTGTATTATTTTTTATTGTACTGTAATGCTTAGAAAAAACTAAATATATCATATTTTGCTTTTTGTATAACATAATGTTATACGTCGTATGTTATACAATAATATAATATATATAATAATAAAATATCATATCACATTCAGTCAACAATATACACTGTATAGTATAGTATAGTATAGTATAGTATAGTATAGCATAGTATAGCATAGTATAGTATAGTATATACACACTATTATATCTAGTACACATATATATATATGTATAATATATATATATTTATATTAAATATCATCAATAAACAAAGTGTATGGCTACAGTTCATCCAGTTAAGCCGTTCTTCTTTTTGTCAAGGATCCTTTCTGCCTTTGGTGCAAGCGTGAGTGCACATCGATCATCCATTCATGGAAGTGGATGCGTTTCCTCACGCCGGAGAATCTTAAAATGGATCATTTCTTGCATTGGAAACCGTGGATATGGGTGTGTCTGAAAATAGTGTACCCCTAAATCCCCTAAACCCAATGGTTAATGATCATTATCCCTATTAAATGGCTATAATTGGGAATATACCCTATTTTCAGACAAACCCATATGCACCCCAGGTGACCCAGGTGAATGGAAACCAACAAAATACATCTTGTTCACAGACTTCACAGATCAACTGTGTGGTCAAATCCGAGTTCTTCATCAGTCCCAGGCGAGTGACGACTAGACCAAACCTCCTAAGCCCGACTGCCTGTTGAAATGGGTGCAGTCGGGATGTCCTGTAGCATAAGCCCCTATGGTTCCCTACTAAAAAAAAACAACGTAGTGGAATGTTTCTTTCTCTTGGTCATGCCCACAATGTCGGTTGTTTGAATCAATCACAACACTGTTGGCTCCCTCCAACGATTATTGATCAACAAAACCCTTTCAACTTCTCACATCTTATATATACATACATATATATATATATATGTACTTTGATATGTAAATAAATAAACAAATAAACAAGTAAACAAGTAAATCATGCGTAAAATACATATGTCACATATAGACATATGGATAAATTATGGTATATACTTTTAATATGTGTATTGTGTGTATACTATATTTAATTTAACTATATAAACAAACATGCTAGACATACAATTATATACACATGCCATTCGGGCACTCAGCATCCATGCCCCACTTATTCTTGCTTCACATCATATGTCACTCCTTTCACCGGTTGAAAAACCCAAGCGTCTTGCTCTGCACCTTCACCTTGTCATAGAACATGTTCATCATAAAAGTCTTGCCTCAGCACCGACGATCGCGCCGACGGTTGGGGTTTTAACTGGTGAAAAAACCTAGGGTTTGTTTCTACCATCTTTAGAAATCAATGAACATGTAGTGGCTGTTTCCTGTAAAATTACCGGTGAACAATGCACTTACGTTGTATAGACTTTTGTGTTGACAACTGGCTGGAACTTGCGAGAGTTGAGTCCCAAGTTTACACTCAGCCTCCCGAAATGGCTCAACTACCGAGGGCAAAGTGTCAAGAAAAACATGCAGAATTGGTTGAAATAAAAAGTTAATTACTGAGTTACTGGATTCCTTTTTATCTGGAAGGTAGAACCACACTTTTCCAAGGAGAATTACTTTCCTTGAGTCTTACGTCAACCCAGTTAATCCCTTGTGGATATATGTTGATACTTGTTGATATTAATAGATACGAGATTACAAGCCCAGGCATCAATATCAACATATATCCAGGTGTCTTATTGTATACAGTATCACTTAATAGATAGCAACATATCCAGGTTATTATACCAGTGACCAAAAAGGCCTTGTGATCCTCCAGGGCTTGCAATAGTTGTAAGTATCATAAACCATAGTTATTGGAGCTATTCATTGACAATATTGAATCATGTTCACCATTGACCATAGTTATAAGATGTTATAAGATGTTTTAAGATGTTATAAGGTGTTATAAGATGTTATAAGATGTTATAACATCTTATAAGTATCATGTTTCTTTAATACGCGGCAAAGCTGCCAGTACCTGTTCCACCCCAGAGGTAGAGTCCCCTTTGCCCTGCTGCCGGTTGCAGCGCCGCCTGGACGCGATCTTCAGATTGCAACGGGCCATGGATAGCTGGGGAAACATGGGAATTCAACCAGCACATGGGTTTTGAATCACAACATATGGGTATGGATCAATACCTATTAATACCATTTTTAGTGGGATGAACATCCATTTACCAGCTATTTTGATGTTCACCAGGGGTACAGGGTTTTGACCCATCCCCATATGATTACTGCTTGGTGGTTTCAACCCCTCTGAAAAATATGAGTTCGTCAGTTGGGATGTTTATTCCCAATATATGAAAAACAAGTGGTTCCAAGGCACCAAGCAGATATGATTATGAATGGATTGGTTCAAGGAAAAAACATACAAGACATTATAAATGTTTATACCCCGAAATTGATGGTAGTTTCATGCAAATTTCCCTTCGACCAATTTCGGGAGCAATACGATGACATGCAAACAACATCAAGTAACCAACAATACAAAACGCATGTGCTCATGCATCGTATACCATCTACCTATACGTGTTTTCGTTTGGGATGTAAATTCTGGTCTATAAATCTATCCAGAAACGTACAATAGAAGTCCATGCAGGGAGTATTAGGGTCATGGGACATCCACGGACTATCATTCAAACATAATACTTTCTTCGAGTAATCCCCACGCTTACACACTATTATGACATAGTTTCTGACATACCATCTGGAAGTATTTACGGCATATGTATATATATATATATATATTATATTATATATATTATATACATATATATTATATTATATATATATATATATTGACACTCTATCTGACATTCTTTCTGGCATATATATATATATTCTGAAATTCTATCTGACATTTTTTTTTGGCATTCTATCTGCCATCTATTCACTATTCTGACATTCTTTCTGGCATCTTTTCTGACCTTCTTTCTGGCATCTGTTCTGACATTCTTTCTGGCACCCTAACCAAAGTCGTCATTTTGTTCTCCTGAGTTTCTGCTTCTACTCCCGCAAGTGGTATAGATTGGTATAGTGTTATAGTAAATTTGACTCAACGATAAAACAACTAGCAACCAATGGTGCAATGACATGGGACGGCCACAGACATCACAGACACAACAAACAATATATCATCTGCAAACTCCAAACAATATCTGTTCATTGTTCTCGTAGTTTGTGTCTGATATTGCTGGTCTTGTATTTTTTTTCTCGGCCTCCTTTCTCTAATAATATGGGCTTGTCCAAAAGAAGGTACCCCAAAAATCAAAATTCAACGGTTTATGGCTACATCATGCTACATCATGTTACATCACCAGGTTCCCCATTCAAGTTGCCATTTTACGGAATAAACAACCAGTTTTCAGACACACCCATCTCTAGGTCTCTAACATCAAAATCATCAACCTAAACTAAACATCAGCAATAGTTCTAAAGTCCCAGGATGTTTCCCAGCATCTAAAGAGATCATCCATGTTTCTTCGCCCAAACACGGTGGTTTCATCCCCCAAAAATCCACTGAATGCTTTCTGGGTGCGGTCGTCGCCAATGGATCGGGATTATATCCAGGAAGGCTCCCATCATATCAGCATGAAATCTTATAAAAAATCCTTCAAAAACCAATCAATATCTCCCTGGTATATCCCATTCATTCATCATTTTCATCATTTTTTGTTTTCATGATCCCATTCATGATGATGATGAATGATCCCATTCAATCACCATTAAACACAAAAAAACAACTCAACATGAAATCCATGTCGCCACGCCTCCACAGACTTCGTTTTCGGGGCGGCAGCCGCGGCAGCCTTGCTTCCGAACAACCCAAAGAGGCCGCTGCCGCCAGTGGCCACCTGCATATTCATGGGATACTTAACGATGATCATAGAATATAAAAATATACGGTATAAATTTCTGGGTAAATTATAATAATTCACTAACCTGAAACTTGCGGCTATCTTGGGGATGATTCCTCTTATTAACCATGATTCCAGGCTTCGGTCGCAGTGAGGTCGTTATGAAATTAACCATGGGATCATCATGGGATCATCATGGGGTTTGTCTGAAAATGGGCTATTTGAACCTCTAAATGTTGCCAGTTAGAGTGGTGCCAAAATGTAAGGTGGGTCAGTTGGGTCAAGTGGGCTTTTGAACCAAGAACATAACTGGGGGCATCCCACTTAAAAATAATATAAAATAATTATTGGTCTCTATCATTACCAGAATTACTGTTATTATTAATACTGAAGCCATTACTAGTGTGACCACTACCAATAACAATACTTGTAGTATAACCAGCCTATTACAAGTCAGAATGTTTTTGTGTTTAGTATTGTTGTCAGATATGACATGACTGGTATTCCTATCATTGATGTTGCGATGATGAATGAAATGATGATGGCAATGGTTGGTTATGTTTGTGACTATGATTGTGATTAGGAGGATGCTGCTGCTGATGATGATTCTGGTGCTGGTGATGGCGCTGTTGATGATGTCACATCAACTTGAACATCTTCCCAAAGACACAATGGCCCCAATGGCAATGAAATCATCTAGATCCAACTGTGAAGATGTTGGGTGTTTTCCTATCGATTGCATTGAAGATTAATGTTTGGTGGTTTCAGCGCCCCTGGAAGCAACATCAAATAACATTAGTCATCGAACATCGCCACTACAATTACCTTGCTAACTACAAGGATGAACAAAAATTACTTTACTTCGTGTGATCCCCACCGTGACATTTTTACATTTTCTTACTGGCAAATCTTCTGGCATTCTATCTGACATATCTTCTGGCATTCTATCTGGCAAATCTTCTGGCATTCTATCTGGCATATCTTCTGGCATTCTATCTGACATATCTTCTGGCATTCTATCTGGCATATCTTCTGGCATATCTATCTGGCATATCTTCTGGCATTCTGGCATATCTGGCATATCTGGCATATCTTCTGGCATTCTATCTGGCATATCTTCTGGCATATCTTCTGGCATATTATCTGGCAAATCTTCTGGGATTCTATCTGGCATATCTTCTGGCATATCTTCTGGCATTCTATCTGGCATATCTTCTGGCATATTATCTGGCAAATCTTCTGGGATTCTATCTGGCATATCTTGGGTCATTCTATCTGACATTTTATCTGGCATACCTTCTGGCATTCTATCTGGCATATCTCATAGCATTTTATCTGGCATATCTTCTGGCATTCTATCTGACATTCCATCTGGCATATCTTCTGGCATTCTATCTGGCATATCTCATGAGGTCCGGCAGGGAACACTTGGCGTGGATACTCGCGGTTGAGGTCCGGCAGGGAACACTTGGCATGGATACTCGCGGTTGAGGTCCGGCAGGGAACACTGGGCGTGGATGGCCGTGGTTGAGGTCCGGCAGGGACCACTGGGCGTGGATGGCCGTGGTTGAGGTCCGGCAGGGAACACTGGGCGTGGATGGTCGTGGTTGAGGTCCGGCAGCGAACACTGTGGATCGCGAGTCGCAGTTGAGCAGGAGGACGAGGAGGACAACGAGGACGACGAGGACAACGAGAGGACGACAAGGACGACAAGGATGACAAGGATGACAAGGAGGACGAGGAGGAGAGGAGGAGGAGGAGAGGAGGACGAGAGGAGGACGAGGCAGGAGGAGGCAACTGACATAAAATCTAACAACCCTCACCTGGCAGGTGGGGAATCAATCGATCAATCAAACACAAAAGCATGGATCCTTAAGGCCCCCAACAGAATAAGCCTAGCCTGGCCCTGTTGCAAAAAAAAAATGCACCTTTGGTGCGGCTTTGGGAAGTCTAGCCATCTTGGGTGAATAGCTTTCCTCAGGATGCAGGAAGAGGTGTGCGGCAACTTGCTTGATCTATCACCGCCCAGAAACAAATGGTGCCTTCAACAAATTTCAGAAACAGTATTTATTCATGTTCAAACAGGGCCACGGTTCAAAATCATGATTAACATCACTAACCAGGTCTTATTAGTACACCAACTTCCCTAGCTGGTAGCTTCACCGTCTCATGGGACTGGCTTTTCTTTGGGAAGGTACCTGTAGATCGCTATATAAGTGGTGTTATCTAAGTTAGCGTACTACAAGTTAGTTTGCGGGCAAACTACGATTCATGGTAGATATATCTATCATTATCTATCTATAGAATATAGTTTATGGCTGGTTTTAAGCCCACTTATAACTAGGGGCCACGACATTCCATGACGTGAGTGACTTGACTGACGACAAGTTTCGAGGTGTTTTGCCAGATCGTCCAGCATGTTCATGCAAACTTCTTGTCGAGGATCCTCTTGAATTTCCTCGGCAGGCATCATGTGTTCTTTCAACAAGCATTGTTTTTTTTCATTGCGCAATTCCGCTATAAATAAATAAAACATAGTCTTAACATGTCTTAACCAGAACTCATGACAGGGAAGCTTAAACCCAATAAAAGAGGAACATCTGAATCTGGATAGTAATCATCCGGATAATAAAATAACATGTCAAAAGTACCCACAAGATAGCATGGCTATGACCTATCATACCCCCGGAAATGGCTCTCAATGCTCTACGCATCACAACTCGCGATTCTCAAACATATCTTACTGCTTGCGAATCCACACGTTTCTATGTATGATAATTACATGTTTCCCAATGTTCATATTAAGCATCAACCATCATCAACCCACATCATCTGACCATGAGCCGGTGAGACAAATAAACACAATACAAACCTGCATAATTTGATCATTTGATCATTGTGCAGTGTGATACCCAATTAATGGGTTCGACCTTACTTAACCTTTGGCCTTTGGTTTGAACCTCCAGGAAGGTGCGTCAATTGGGATCCGCTCAGCTTTAATTATTGTCGGCCAAAGTCCCACATGTTCTTCAATTGTTTAGTGATTGGAAAGCCAATGATTGGGAACGTCAATAAACATTTGGAGAACATTGTCTTCAAACCCATGTATTGATACCCTCCCGTAATTTAATATAACCATGAAACGTTATCCATTTATAGATTATATCTACCTATACTGCGTGGTGACTTTGAACACCTATCTTAAATCAGCAGAGGGCAAATCCACATATATCAACCAACATGGCATATTGTTTGTTATAATTAATACATATTAATACCACCCAGTTATTTCTTACAGAAGAAATTCAACGTACGTTACCCTTTGGTAAATTAACATAGACCCTGAAAATAGCCTAGTTTTAATGGAAACTAATCTTCCAACCCCGACAACTGCCAGGGTCTATGTTAATTTACCAGAGGGTAGAGGTTATGAAGGTTATGTTCCCAGTGAAACGCCTTTGAAACTCAGGTTATGTTCCCTCAGAAATTCTGTGGGTCATTTTCCATAGACCATTTTGCAAGTGTCTCCGCTGGATTTCAGGTGGAGATAATGCTCCATGCAACCACCGGGTGCTGCGCTGCTATTCCTGCCCATCGCAGCCCATCGCAGCCCATCGCAGGCATCATATCACATGATTCATAGGATTCTATGGGAATATCATGGAATTTTAATAGGATAGGCAATAGAATTTTAATGAGTCTGATTATCATAACACATTAAAAGATTCTATGGGATTAATAGGATTAGCTGGCAATAATTTTAATGAGTCTTTATCGCCAGCTAAGTGGCAGTTTAGCAATCTGAGAGTGTCTGAAATGGTTAAGGATTAGGCCACTGGATGGGGGAATCCAAATGACCTTCGGGAACGTCAAACTGCAAAGGGGACACATGGTGAATGTAAATATTGTATATACTCTATAATATATATATATATATTTATTTAGGGAGAGAGAGACTTATATATATAATATAAATATATAGCAAAAACAGTATACATACAAGCACAGAGAGAAAACACCAAAAGGTGATGGGCTCAATAAAAGTCCCATGGTCAAGCGGTCAAGCTACCAAGGAATAGGGGGATGATGTGAATACACAACCATTGCCCCCATCATATCAATGATATAAACAAATTCTAATATATATATATATATATGTATGATATATTTATATCAAAGTATATATGTAATATATTTATGAAATCCCAGTTTATCCAGCCATCAGAATATTTATATACCAATCCATAAAATGGGTCAAATTTGCCAAAATCTTGGGGAACATAACATTGTTCTCTGGGTAAAAATCAGGGTCTAAGCATGGCTAATCTTACAGACCCTGCAAACAAATATCCTTCACAGTAGCTGGTCAGTCCCGTTCCATCAAATTGGCAAACTATCTCCCCCGCCCAGATAGTGGATGTAGGGGATGAAACCACATATTTGGGACCATACAATTGGTGGTTATTCAACATGAACGAGGGAAGGGATTATGTACAAACCTGCATAACCATCCACCCGGGTTGAACAGCACTAGCACAAATTAAGATTTAACCTGCAAAAGGGTAGATCTCCACAAAATGGATGTGTCTGAAAATCAGATATCCCGAAATACCGATTTTTTTTCTGGGGAAAGCGGCGGTAAAGTCTATGGAACCTTCGGGTACATGAATTTCAAACAAACTCAAATTCAGACCTGACCTGCAAAAACGTAGATTTCCCCTTGTTCAATGAACATAAATAAATTTAGTTTACGTCATTTCCGTACCCAAACCCCGCGCGCCATCGTCGCGAGGCTCGGAGGGCAGGCGACCCCTGCGCTCTGGCCATGGTCGACCATGGCCGCAGCGCCTGAAATTGGAAAATTTGGAGGACATTTCAAGTGGGATTGATTGGGATTACCATCTGGTTATTTAACATAGCCATGGAAAATCACCATTAATTTAATAGGTAAACCTCTATTTCTATGGGCCATTTCCCATGGCTGTGTTAGTCATAACCAGAGGGTAATTGGGATTAATCACCATTGGATTCATTGTTGGACGATTGGCGGACATGGCAGTTATTGAGCTTCATATGCATTTTTATCATGACCATTTCTAGTAGTTGAATCATGTTGAATCTACTAATTATTAGGATAAAAATGGTGACGATCCAAATTCCAACGAATCTAATTTATTATTTGGGATAGTTTACCATCTTTATCAGCATTTCCTCTATTTATTGGAAGATTCATGTGGTAAACTAAACGCCATAAATGACAAGAAATTGGCATAAATTGGTAGTAATTTTAAACCTTCCAAAATTAGAGCCTGATTTTTGGTTTTCTTACATTAATGTGAACATGTCTTGCATCACAGACATGAACATTTTTCCTGAGACATACGGAGAATAGAGGCTTTTAACTAAGCAAACAAGGACGGGTATATGGGGAATATTCATCAAACATCATAAAACTAGTTCACGGGGTCAACATAAACCAACATAATCCAACAAACAAGACTTAACCACCTTGTAGGATGTTTTTTCCAAAATTTTCAAACAAAATACCGAGTGGCTATGGCCTTCACCATTGACATTCCTATCATTGCTGGTTGTTTTGCTGCTTGAGGGAGCAGTCTCACTAAATTTGAATACGTCAGCGTGATGATTGGGGTTAGATTCGATTATGGTTTCATCCCAAATTATTAGTATTACTATAATTATTAGCATTAGCATTGGTACCAGTAGTACCAGTAGTACCAGTAGTACCAGTAGTACCGCACAAGGCAGTGGCAAAAGTTTCAAAAATAGGAAACCTACAGGAGAGGTTGGTTGTTGTGGATCACGGATGGCAGAGCGAATCCACTGATGGACCGAAAGGTGGTTGGAGTTGTGTTTTCTGGAGTGACTGCAATGGTTGCAGTGGTCACCTCACCACAACTGCTGGAGGTAGTGTGGTGTAGTGCAGTTGTAGTCGTAGTTGTAGGTGGAGTTGTGCTTCAGCGAGCCTACTTTTCGACCCTCCGGAGCCACAAATCATTGGAAAAACACAATGTTTCGCGACTCTCCTACCTTTTCGCGCACCTGGATCTTCTTTCTTCTGAGACTTTCTCTTTTGCGATCTTCTTTCTTCTTCTCTTCTCTTCTCTGACTCTTCCCATCTCTGCTTTTCATCTGTCCATATTGTCGGAAGTTTGACTTCTAAACTTCCTTCGATAAGTATTAGTATTGCAACAGCAATGGTATAAACTAGTATCATGTGAAAGATTCGGCCAATGATTTTGCCCATTTATTAGAACACCTCCTTTTGTACAGCCGGGCCACAGCTGGTGATCGTGAACAAGTGCCCAAAGCACGGCATGCGGCAAGCACCACACGGCGCCGCAACATGGTCGCGGCAATTCGAAGTGTGCGCGAGTGGGGCGCCGCACGGCAATTTTGGCCCGGATCTGGGGAACTATTGATGAACTTGGAGTGGAGATGGTGCAATTTTGTATTGTCTGATGACCTTAAAAAGATCCTCAAAATGTATCATACAGTCAAACGCAGTACAAGAATAGTAAAATATAGTGGTGTAAGATGGAAAGTGATGCAGAACTTTGATTCTTTGTAGCTTCACTGAAAAACCCATCGCTGGTTCTCAACTGTATTTGTGACCAGTTCGCCCAGATCGACAGCCAGTTTGGAACACTTGGAGCTGAGGGTGTCCGACTTCGTCCCATCCAAGGCCCATGGAATCCAGCAGATTCCCAAAATGGGGGCTACGTTTCATCAAGATTTGGCATAAAATAAAATCACCGCAATCCATATCAATCCATCAGTGAAACACCCAGGCTTGGAAACATATAGGAAACATCTAGACAAATCTAGACAGCACATGGATGTAAATATGCCGTCCGTGTATGTTCATATGTGGTATTACAGTAATGTGGTAAACCCAATCATAAACCATCCCCAATATATCACGAGAAATGGGTGGTGAAAACATGTGAAAACGACCTCCAATGGCAAAATGCTTGGTTTATTTCTGAGTTTACCACAGTATTATTACGTATACAGCTTGTTCAACATATACATATATATATATATATTATCATACTTGGTGTCCTCCTCCTTTCATTAAACTATATGAATAGCAGCATCGAACAAAAACTCTCTGCCCGTATGAAACAGGCAACTTGAACAGGTTCCTCTCAGGGCCGGAGACCTTTGCCAAGTCACAATTTCTCACGATGGGAGGATATGGACAGCAGCCTGACGTGACAGTTACAGGGACAGTTTCTCGTTGGCGCTATCTGGTGGTATGAAAAATATGATGGTTTAAAACCCCGCTTGATAACCTCCAATCATTGATGTTGTATGTATGTATGTTTTGTAATGTAATGCAATGTGATGTAATTTAATAATGTAATGTAATGAAAAATATTATGATATAATATGATATAATATAATACAATGTAATGTAATTTAATAATGTAATGTAACGCAATGCAATGCAATGTACTAAAATGTATATTCACATTGTAATGGCACTGTGATTCTTGTGCGACTATGAACATGACTCTATGTGACTATCCGTTCTGAGCTGACTGCACATGTCAGAGTGACCTCAAGGGCGAAGCAGTAGGGGAAACTGCTAAGAGACTCAAAATGATCAGCACTTGTGGGTCCAATGGTTTTGGTGAACTTCATACCCACATTGTAGTCGCGCACCTCTCTGACTCTTTTCCCCAGCAAAGACGAGGACATCTGCATTGTTTTCAGGCATCTTGTGCTGTAAAAGCACCATCATTCTATCATTGGTGTGCTCAAATTGGTGAAAAAAACATTGGCTTCCCAACAACAAGTTTCTCATGCAGGAGAGCTAGAGTTTTTACGACCCACATATCGTGATTGGGAAGCCAGATTTTGAGCCACATTGTCTTCAAACGCCCCATCAATGGGGTGGCAGCTCACAAGGTCAATGTTGGAGACGCAAAACATATCACAAGACCCAATTAGTTGCAAGGCCGCTTTCTGGGGCCTAGAGGTCACCAATTTTGAGCATGGTTTTGTGACAAAATCGAAAACCCGTAAAATCCATTACAATCCACTGGTTTATCAACATTTCCTTGTGAACATACATCAAAATGCTCATGATGCTTGGATATACCCTGTTTCTGAACAAATGGTTCTGTCTGAAAATGGGGGACACCCTTCAAAAATTGCAGTTTCATGGGGAAAAAAACTGATAATAAACCGGCAAAATTTTGGGTAATGTGGTTAAAACAATAAACCATTTCCAATTTCACCATAAGTGGGTGATATATATATAAACCATCAAACATGGGATGGTTTATTATTGTTTTAACCACATTACCCTGTTTCAAACAAAGCCAAGTCGATCCTGTATTTTGCCAGGATAGCCAGTAGTATCCAGTAGTAAATTGAACATGTGACCTTACAGCTACGTTGTCCTGCTACGAAAATGCACTCATCCATGGCATTCCATGGCTATGACGTTCAAAGGCCATCTGTGCGCCACAGGCATCACAGTTCGTTGACTGCCAATGCCGAATAAGTACAAGAAACCAATAGGTTCAAAAGAAAATAATGTTGCAAACACACCTGCATACCATTTCAGGATTGTGTATGATTGCTTCTACCACCCATTTGTGGTACTAATGGGGATTGTATATTCTTGAATTTACCACTTTAAAACTAAATGGCTAGAGATCAATACCTCAAAACCATTCTTGAGGGCGATGAACATGAATCTCAGCTATATTGATATTCAGCCCCGGGAAAAAGGGTGCCTGACCCATCCCCAGCAGAAATATAAGAGTTTTCAGGTGGTCATCTCAGGACCCTTCCGGTTGCTGGTTTCGACCCATCTTGAAAATCTGAGAGCCACTTGGGGGATATCATTACAATTTTGGATGAAAAAACGCAATAGTTATAACTACTGACCTGCTGTCAAACTACCCTTCACCAGCTGGCTTACCTAAAATACCCATATGTTTGAAGCAATATCACTGATGCTTATCTTGATACCCATTTTGGGTTTGTTCCTTACTATTTCAAGTATGAAAACACCCCCAAGATAAACACCTCCAATTTCAAGTATGAAAACATCCCCAAGATAGCGCCCTCCAACTATGAATTGACCTATAAACAAAGAACTTTGTAGATTACCAGTAGTACCGCACAAGGCGGTGGCAGAAGTTTCAAAAATAGGAAACTATAGGAGAGGCTGGCTGTTGTGAATCACGGATGGCCGAGCGAAGCCACTGATGGATCGAAAGGTGATTGATGTCTCCTCACTGTCTCTCTCTCTCTCTCTCTTTTTCTCTCTTTCTCTGAATACCTACATACCTACCTACCACCTACCTACCTACCGATCTACCCATCTATCTATCTACCTACCTACCTATCTACCCATCTACCTATCTACCTATCTACCTACCTACCTACCTACCTATCTATCTATCTTTCTATCTATCTATCTATCTATCTACCTACCTACCTATCTATATATCTATCTATCTATCTATCTACCTACCTACCTATTAAATTTCACGAGCTCCTGGGATTTTGTGATTTTTAGGGAATATTGGATATCAAGGTCAAGATGCAATATGTGGTGCAGTGTACGCGCACAAGGGTGGCACCAAAAAACTTAAGCGTCATGGTTTGCACGGGTTTGCACTGGATCAGCCTTCCTTAAATGGAATTGGTCCAATTAATCGTTCAGAAAAAATGAAACGGTCGGAAACGGTCGGAAACTATTTTTTTGCCGAGCGAAGGTGCGATCTCCGACTGTTTCCAACCGTTTCCCCTTGGACACCTTTGGACCTTCAAAAAAAAAACGGCATTGCGCGGAAATGCTTATTTAAAAAAAATGCGGGTTGGACAAGTTTTGGCCTGATCATGTTTCCGACCGTTTCCGACTGTTTCCGACCGTTTCCGACCGTTTCATTTTTTCTGAACGATTAATTGGACCAATTCCATTTATGGAAGGCTGATCCAGTGCAAACCCGTGCAAACCATGATGCTTAAGTTTTTTGGTGCCACCCTTGTGCGCGTACACTGCACCACATATTGCATCTTGACCTTGATATCCAATATTCCCTAAAAATCACAAAATCCCATGAGCTCGTGAAATTTAATATACTTACCCACCTACCTACCTACCTATCTATATATCTATCTATCTATTTATCTATCTATCTATCGATCTATCGATCTATCTATCGATCGATCTATCGATCTATCGATCTATCGATCTATCGATCTATCGATCTATCGATCTATGGATCTATGGATCTATGGATCTATCGATCTATCGATCTATCGATCTATCGATCTATCGATCTATCGATCTATCGATCTATCGACCTATCGATCGATCGATCTATCTATCTAATCTATCTATCTAATCTATCTAATCTATCTAATCTATCTAATCTATCTAATCTATCTAATCTATCTAATCTATCTAATCTATCTAATCGATCTAATCGATCTAATCTATCCAATCTATCCAATCTATCTAATCTATCTAATCTATCTAATCTATCTAATCTATCTAATCTATCTATCTAATCTATCTAATCTATCTAATCTATCTAATCTATCTAATCTATCTAATCTATCTAATCTATCTAATCTATCTAATTATCTAATCTATCTAATCTATCTAATCTATCTATCTATCTAATCTACCTAATCTATCTAATCTACCTAATCTATCTAATCTATCTAACCTATCTAATCGATCTAATCTATCTAGTCTATCTAACCTATCTAACCTATCTAATCTATCTAATCTATCTAATCTATCTAATCTATCTAATCTATCTAATCTATCTAATCTATCTAATCTATCTAATCTATCTAATCTATCTAATCTCTCTAATCTGTCTAATCTATCTAATCTTTCTCATCTATCTAATCTATTTATCTTTCTATCTAATCTATCTATCTAATCTAGTCTAATCAAATCAAATCCAATCTAATCTAATCTAATCTAACCTCTCTCGCTCTATCTATCTATCTATCTACCTATCTATCCATCCATCCATTCATCCATCCAACTATCTATCTATCTATCTCTGATCTGTCTATCTATCTATCTACCTATCTATCTATCCATCTGTCTATCTATCTATCTTTCCATCCAGCTATTCTATCCATCTATCTATCTTTCTTTCTTTCTATTCATCTCTCTCTCGCTCTGTCTGTCTGTCTGTCTATGCATCTATCTATCTATCTATTTATCTATCCATCTATCGATCTAGCTGTCTATCTATCCATCTATCTATCTAGCTAGCTATCTAGCTGTCTATCTATCCAACTATCTGTCTATCTATCTATCTATCGATCTATCTATCTATCTATCTAGCTGTCTATCTACCATCTATCTATCTAGCTAGCTAGCTATCTAGCTATCTATCTTGGTCATCTGTCTATCTAACTATTTCTATCTACCTATCTACCTATCTACCTACCTACCTACCTACCTATCTATCTATCGACCTATCTATCTATCTTTCTATCTATCTATGTATCTATCTTTCTATCTAACTATCTAACTATCTATCTATCTATCTATCTATCTGCAAGCTTGAAAACGAAGCTATTCTGTGAGACGTCCTCAGGTTTTGAACTTGACAACACCAAAAACGCAGCAATTCTGCGAGACTTCCTCAATGTTTGAACTTGACAACGTCAAAAACTCAGCAATTCTGCGAGATTCCTCAATGTTTGAACTTGACAACATCAAAAACGAAGCAATTCCGCGGACTTCCTCGATGTTTGAACTTGACAACGTCAAAAACGAAGGAATTTTGCGAGACTTTTTCGTTTTTCAAAGTTGACAACATCAAAAACGAAGCAATTCTGCGAGACGTCCTCAATTTTTGAACTTAACAAGGTCAGAAACGAAGCAATTCTGCGAGACTTCTTCATTTTGCAAAGCTGTGACAACATCAAAAATGAAGCAATTCTGCGAGACTTCCTTTAAAAATGGAAAATTCCGTGCAGCGCTGACGGTCTCGTACCATTGCGTTTTGCGTTTTTTCCAGTCCATCTGTCCAAACTACTGCGCCTGCCACGACAAAGTGATGCCAGGTCATACGAAGTGCTGCACCTGTCACGCAAAATCATCTTAGCAAACCTGAAGATCGGAGGCTCCAAAATGCAACCCCTCTCAGGAAATCAGCACCCGGACCTCCTAACAGCTCTGATGAACATGTCTCTTGTATTGCGCCTGC